TTAATATAAATATTTTTAAAAAAAAATGCATATAGATTTTCTTTTCTGTTTTTTAATTTTATTTCTCAATTATATCTATTACAGCTCAATACATGAAAACGGGATAAGAATGGACAAACCTGATAAAAAAATTGAAAAAAAATCGAGGAATAGCGATTATCTATAAAATTTCTGAAACATGTTATTATTACCAATACATATCAAGCGCGGATACAGGCATTTTCCGGAGGGGGAAGGAGGGAACACAGCCGCGCACACACAAAAAAAAAAAAAGAAAAAGAAGAAGACTCAGACATTATTGTCAAGCAAGGATAAAAAACCATAAACTTATCCATACCTTATATAGCTATTTCGTTTTGGAGGGGGAGGGGGTGTTAAATCGCTTTGCCTTTATAGATATACAGAAGATGTATAAATGTATGTGACTTTCTATGCCATTGTAACATGGGTCCGTGTTTTCTAGAGGGATTGGGTTTACTATTAATATCATTTCAACAACTCTAAAAATCCCAAGGGGAACTGATCCCATGACCACGCCCCCCCCCTCCCCAATTACGACATCTTAACTAAAGATATTCCTAAGATGCTTTTGTTTTACATCCAAAGACGTATCTTAAGATAGTGCTAAGATATGTACAAAGTATGCTGCTGGTTCTGAGTTGGTTGGGAAAAAGCCGCATATGATTTGGTGATAGAAAACGAATTCGTGTCGGACGTCTGAGAAAAATTGATTGAAATTCTAGCTTGAAGTTAATTTTCAATCCAAATTTGCTTTTCTCATACGCTTGATGCAGAAGACAAATAATAATTTCAATTTCCGAATAGTTTGAATTTAATTCAGATTAGAAACTTTTATCCAATCTATTCTTTTAAAGAAATCATCAATATCTTTCAGGGCACGACAATTTTCATTCTATTGGGGGGGGGGGGGGTAATTAAGAGGGGGACGCTGACAGATTTTGGAAATAAAGAATCTGTTCTTGAAAATACATGTATAAAAAATCTCTCCTCCAGTGACCGAAATCAGTGGTATTAAGCCGATATCCGTACCAGTAGGTACGCATACATATATCATCAGATGTCGAAAAGCTCCACAGCTTCGAGAGTTTACATCTATAGATATACTTATATATCTCTTCAATCTGTTGGTGAATTAAAATGATTTGAAGATATATACATATAGTCTTTAAACATAGCTTTATGCAGATTAATCCAGAAAAGCAGAATAGATATTTAACGCGTAAATGGAAACCCTGATAAAAAAAAAAAGATATATATGTACCATGTCATTTTGTGATCGAGTTACTGGATATGCGTTACATGAAATATAATCTCTCTCTCTTTCTCCAGAAGATAGAAATAATTGTTATCCGATTTGATGAGGAAACATTTTTTTCTATAAAGCAGAGAGAAATTTGCAACATATACCTTTATACGATACATTAAATCAAAGGAAATGATTATAGCGCTCAAAATCTAAATAATCACCAAAGAAAACCCAAAATTTCAAGAAAAAGAATATGGGTCACAATGTAATTAAATATTGGGACTTTATCAAAGATTTAAGCATACACTTCGATATTGTGGTAGGCGAAATAATGTACAGTCGAATCTCCATATATGTTACGGCTCCTCGAATATATCTGTTTTTGCATCTCTTCGTAGCATACAAAAATGTATATAATTATTATTTTTGCCTCATTTCTAAACTGTTTTTACAATGTATGGATAATTTCCGTACTGTATAAGGTGGAGACCGGTCCTTAGGATAAGACCGTATAAACCGAAGTCCCTTGTCGCAGTAGATGCTGGCACGAAAAAGATCTCTCTCTCTGCTCAAAATCCGCAAGTGTCGAGTACAGGTCTAAATTTGCAGCCCCCCACCAGCAAGTGTTGGCGTCTCAATATGATTGAAACATTCTCGAAGGGACGTTAAACAACTAAGCAAACAAACAAACAAACATTTTTATGCATTGTATTTACCGGTACATGTAAAAGTAAATGTATTCTTTCTCTACATAAGAATTGGATTTGGATTCATCCGTCTTTTGCAGATACACCTGTATGCATGGTATTATTTAGACTGAGAACCCCCCTCCCCCCCCCCCCCCCCCACAAACACACACTTTCCACACTTTTCTGTGGTAGCGTTGAACCGCTTGCACCGTATTGTACAGAATATATTTCTTGCAGAAAAGAAACTGAGAGTATTACACCACCCCCCTCCCCCTCCTTTCTCAGTTTTAAGAATTTAAGTTTTCTAAAATAGTCAACAGCCTATTTCCCTTTATCGCTTGTAAACGTTTTGCTTTTTTAACATTAAAAAAAAAATCCTGAATGTTTTCCTGTGGCTCAACCCCTCTCCACCTTAAAAAAACATTGTTACAGACTTGAAACTACAAGCTTTACTTTTCACGATTGAAAAGGTTCATTGTCGACGGATTTTTCAGTATTTCACGATCATGACAAGGAGCACACGGCGGGTATGACCTGTCGGCAGGGGATGCTCGCTCCTCCATGGCATCTGATCCCACCTCTGACATTTTAGAGGTCCGTGTTTGCTCTGCGCCCGATTTGTATTGTTTAATGGACATTTGAGCTTGAATACCGTTCGTTATCTACATATATTTTATTCATTGAAAGGACAGCTCCCCCTTTTTTGTTGCAGTATAGTCAATTCAGGGTAATGTATTAATAAAATTTGGTACTGAAAGATGGAACACCTAACCCCCCCCCCCCCACCTACACCTCCCACGAAATAGGATTTTCGAGTATGTTGAATTTTTTCTCTCTTGCTGCCCCCCCCCCCCCTATTTTTTCAAAAACGATGCTACGTTCCTGTGAAATATTTGACAGATACATTTATGCGCAAATTGTTAAAATGCAAAGAATTAGAAAAAATAAAACTAGCAGGTACCGATATCATTTACACATGGTTTTTAAGTCCAAAACATCAAGGTACGCTTATCACCTTCATACGAGATATATAATTTATTTGTAGGTTTTAATTGTTAAGACTCAATATATCTACAATTCACTTTGATTCATTTAATGAAATATGACAAAAATAACAAAATCAAGCGGGGTAAACTCATGAAGCTGTCAAGCTCGAAGTCATCTTGGGATATGCGTACCTACTGGTACAGATATCGGCCTAATACCAGTGAATATTAAAAAAAAAAAATAATCCGACAATGACTGGTGCGCCTCTCGCATGAAATGCATCTTTGCTGACCAAAAGCTTTTACACATGCAGTTGTTGGAAAGCTTTTTTTTTTTTTTTTTTTTTTTTTTTTTTTTTTTTTTTTACAAATATTTTTGATATAAACAACAAATTTAAGCATTTGCTGTTAATGAATATATAATATAAATGTGTAATAAAATATCTAAAAAAAAAACAAAAAAAAAAAAACCTGGATAGACATTTTAATTTTTTAAGTAAAAAATTTATTTATGAAAATAAAACACATTATTTGTGAATATTTTTTGAGCCTATGGATAAAATCTTCATAAAACTAGTCAGAACTATGGAGAACATGTTAGTCAAACATATTTTAAAAAGAAATTGAAATGAAACTGCAAAATTTTAGGGAAACTATTTTTTTCAATATTTAGACCAATCCCGATCAAAATTAACACAAAATAAATAAGATGAAATTATTGCCTTCTTTAAGTATTTACCACTAAGAAATTTATTTATTTATCAAGTTCAATTACTTTTTAACGCGTATTACACCTAAACAAACTTGTATTCCTTGTGAAAATATTATCTATTATCAATTATTATAAAATTCTGGTTGGAATCAGTTTAATTTCGATCGGGATCGGCTAAAATTTGTAAAAAATAATTTCTCTAAAATTTCGCAATTTCGTTTCAATTTCCTTTTCAAATATGATTGTCTAACATATCCTTTGTAGCTGTGACTTGTTTTTTTGAATATATTATCCATATGTTTTGAAAATATTCACAAATAATGTACTTTTTCGAAAAAAAAAATTTTAGTAAAAAAGTTAAAATGTCTATCTGGCTTTTCTTCACATATTTTATGAGATATTTATATTATGCATTCATTAACATCAAATTTTTAACTATAAAGCATCTTATTTGCAAATAAAACATTTTTTTTTCATTTTCTATGAAAAATTGGAGAAAATTCTTATAAAATAATTAAGAGCTAGGCCTTTCAATGCTGAAACCATGACTTAAGGAAGCTCTAAACACTGCACACTAAAGAGTTTTATTTCATAGAGTATTTTTATCGAGTGATTTGCCCTTAGAAAAAAATTGTATAAATGGGAATCTACAGTTAATGACACAGTTTCTTATGAATTAAAGTATTCTTAATGTTATGTTAGACCAAGATTAAGTAATTGAATACATTATTTCCATTAATTTTCCTGATGCAAGTAAACAACAGTGATTTCTGTTCACAAATAGTTCATTGTCTTTGAACATTTTTTTCTGCAGAAATAAGGCAGGTACCCTATGTTGAAAATGAACTTGATACACTGAATATGATATATTTTTCTCAAAGACCAAAAAGCATTTTTCATTAGTGTTCAGAGCTTCCTTAACATGGATGTCTTAAGACCAATGGAATAAACTTTTGGTGTGGCATTCCTCCTTAAGGAAGTAATTATGGGTCCAGTTCCTAATGAATAAAAAGCCTCATTTGCAGTTTGTATAAACAAGAGCATAAATTATGGATATAAAATTTTATTCAGAAGATAAATCACAAATAAATACCTCACCTTTAATATCATCAATGTTCATTTTTGCATACTTAAACATACATCAATAAAAAGAATTGTTATTACTTTAAAAATATTTAACTATATAAATCAATACTAAAAAAGTCTAACATTTCCAATGTTTTACTGAGCGTTCATAAAAAAAAAATGATGTTTGACTGCAGAGTGAGATATTGGACATTGGACCGCTTATGTCACAATGTTGGCAGGATCAGCTAAATCTCATTTTCATCTGTTGGAGAGCGACAGTAACAGAATTGATCAAGTTTAACGCAGTGCAGGTAAAGGAAATTAACATCATAGAAGCCAGCACAAGTACAGTCATAACTGAGGTAATGTGTAGTAAGCCTCTCAGAGCAAATAGAGAACAAGTATCAGCTGTCAACATGCAGTAGACCTGAAACAAAGTGACAAAAATTATCACATCACTTATTTCAGCTAAAGGTGCTGTGAGCGATCTCACAAAATAATAAGGTTATAACCCTGCTGCAATTCTTTTATTTAGAATGTGTAAATGTGACCTTGAACTTACCAAAATGACTTTGGTTAAAAAATGACAGATCTTTGGACATGAGTAATCTAAGAGTGAAATAAGGACATCCAATTTTTCTCCATTAATACAAAATAATAGACTTACATTTTTTTCTGCCAGAGACCTTGAACTTGTCACAATGACCCTCAGGTCAAAAAAAATTTTTGTAGCAAATTAAAGCTCAGTAACAAAGTTATTGACCGGACAAGAATGTTATCTCTTATCTGCCAGTGGCCTTGAACTTGCCAGAATGATCTTGGTCAAAGTCAAGACAAACTTACAGGTCATAAACAATCTTTGTAGCAAGTAAGAACTTCCAATGATTCTCCATTACAAAATTACAGCCTACACACGTGTTTTATACCTTTTTAAGCCAGTGACCTTGAACTTGCCAGAATTGCCATGGGCCAAGGTCATGACACACTCTCAGGTCTTCAATTATCTTTGTACCAAGAATGAGCCTCAATGATTCTCCATTGCAAACTGATATCCTGGATAAGAAGTTTATATCTTTTCTGTCAGTGACCTTGAATTTTGACAGACTGTTTGATGGGATCCTGCCAATCAAGTTGGGTTCATCAGGACATTTGAGCAATATAAGCCTTAAAGATTCAACACACTTTCATGAAATAATTATCGTTAATATTATTAAATTAGTTTAAAACTATACTAAACATAACTATTTACATCATATTGAAACACTGTACTGAACAAAAGTAGTTTTGACCTCGACTTGTTAATATCAGCTGTGGCTAAAAATAGTGATTGGGTCATGTGGGGATTTTTTCTTTACACAGCAATGACTGTTTACAATCTAACATATAAGAAAGGATAAGATAGGCTAAGATCCCTTTTTGGCCCCTGGTTTGGGGTATCTTTTAGAATGTTGCAACAGTTTTTCAGTTAAAAACCTGATGTCACCCCTGCCATAAATTGAGTATTGTTTCTAAGTTATGGGATACACAGAGGCCACAGGAAGGTCAGGAAATATGTCAGTTTCCGAATTTTCTCATTTTATGCAAATTTTCATTGGTTTTACAGCACATTTTGGTTCAGAAAACATAGAGCACAAGCTTGCCTATCTACCAAATTTATATATTTCATACACTAGTATCAGATGCATCTTATGTATAAAAATCTCAGATAGGCAGCCTTGTGCTCTATATTTCCCAAAGTGAAAAGTATCTCAAATTTGACGAAATGCAAACAGAATTGAGGAAATTCTGGAAAATAACCTACTTCTACACCCTCTTGTGGCCTCCGTGTAAGCTTTGAATCAAAATTAGTGCTGGTTTTAAAACAAGCATTATTTTTAATTCTTACCTACAAACTATCACAATTTTAACTGTGTTCTGATTTTTACATCAAATAAGGGGCCAGATTCGGCCATTACCATACCTTGTCCTTTCTTTAAAAGTTTTTAGATTATTTATTTGAAGGCTGCAATGGGGGTTCAACAGTTATGTTATCAATACGACCAAATGGTCTTTTACACGACTAGACCACTCGTTTACTAGACTGGGTCAAACATGCCTTAGTGTCAAACCCTGTTGAACTAGCCGGAATGACCTTGGGTCAAGATCTTGACACACCAACAAGTCATTAACATTCTTTGTACCAATTAAGTTTGAGCTTCCAATGACCAACAAGTTGGCACCGATAGACTGACAAGGTGATTCTTATATATTCCCTCAACCTTTATTGTGGGGTTAGAAGGCCAGCATGATGAATATAAGACAGAACATTCAGGATCTAATCGAAAAATGGGGACTCCTGATACAAGTATCAGAGTGGAAGGAGATGCTCAATACAAAAATGCTACCTTCAGTGCCATTGGGAAAACCCAATTCTAAGCTGCTACCCAAGTGACATATACTGTGTTCTTAGAGGAAGAATATTGTAGCAGTGTTCTATGGAAATAAATTTTGTAAGAAAGGTGAAAGCTGAGAAATAAAGGAAAGGAAGTTACCTGCCCAGCCATGAGGACTGCACTGTCACCATTCCTCCAAAGACAATGATTGTGGATGAGAAGAGATGGGCTGCAGAAAGTGAAAGTGAGCTGCAAAGTGATGACCATCTACTAGTCATCTTCTATTTCACCAGTGGTGGTTAAGGTGCCACTCTATACGGATTATCTGAAAAACAAGGAAATTTCATTGAAAACCTAAAAGACTTGCTGCAATTCTTTGATTCTCAAAGAAAACAGACAGCTATGGCTCAATTAGCAGCCACACATTTCTGAGAAGAATAAAAGAATCCACACAAAGAAAATTTGCCTTTGACCTAAAGCTTCAATACAAAACAGAGTAAAAAAAAATATCAGTACTATTAGCACTATTCCATGAGATTTACCTTTGATTTAGTGGGCCATGTCTTCTACCATCAATTCAATCATAAGCTGCTACCAGAAACAGTGTGGAAAGTCCTGTCAACTTACCGGCAATTCCTTTTCCTGTCAATGACTGAAAAGCAATGAGTGGAAATTTCAGTGTTGCCTAGTGACTATGAATTAAACATGACAGAAGAAAATATTTGTTAGAAGATTATTAACTTGACTTTTAAGTCCAAATAATCTTGCTAGCTAAAATTAAAAGAGTGTTCCAAGGAACACATGCGTCGCCTGATGAACAGCATCATTATTTAAGATTAAAAGAAAATCTAAGGGTGGTCAAATATTATTTGATACAAGCATTATGAGGGCTGTTAAGAGATTATTAGTACATAGTGTTTATTTTTCTTTCCAAGTAATGCCTTTTGGTGAAAAATGGCATATATGTTTGACAAACACTAAGAATTAATAAAAGCAACAAATATTTTACAAATATTTTATTTCTTCTTTTCAATGGTATATTAATGGGTAAATAGAAGGGGTATCCGGTGCCGTCACGAAATCATATATTGAAATATGTTATACTTATGTTCAAACTCACAGTGGACCCATATACAGCAAGAGCGAAAATAATTCAAATTATATGTCAGTATTTATTTTTTTCAATTTCATTTCAATTCATTTTGTGCAAGCTTCTTAGTATTTCAATCAGAAATACGGAGATCATAAAAAAATCTAAGCTTGGTATAGATATCTGATTACATCAATAAAATAGATTTTGACGTCAACGCAACGCAGCAAGCATACCTAGAATTTTACATAGCCCTGTGGAGAACTCTTTTCCAGACTAAAAGATCTTCTAAAACAATAACAACTAGTGCTAACTGTAACGGGAACTGTTTCAGATGTTCCCCAAACACTTCCCCATTCTCTTATGGGCCCCATTCATTACAGAATTCATTTCATTATGCAATTCTTTTGTTTAATAAATCTATACTTTATTTTCAGTAGTATTTATTCGAAAAACAACACTGGTATAGTTCTTCGAGTATTAGCCAATTGGATTTCAGCGCATGCTAGGCCTGAGTATCGCAAACTACCTAACGATATGATACATATCATGATACGGTCATGTGATATACAACATGTACCATAATACAGCTGTCACCAATTGAATTAAGCTTTAATTATCTTAACATATAATTCTTTGCTAACTCCACAGTTATAGAAAATATACAAAGAATATCTTGATAACCCTTATCAAAGTTAATAAAAGGTGGATTTATAGTCTTGATATTGTATTTTTTCTTTGCTACCTTTTTTCAGCCATTTTAAAACATTTAAATTTGTTAGGTTGAATGTAGAAGTTACAAACAAAACAATGAAAATTATCTTCTACTGTATCACAATACATACATGGCAATACGCGTATCGTCAGCCCTTGCGATCAATACGATCGATGTATTGCTGTATCGTTACACCTCTAGCACATGCACATGCCCATATTTTCTAAATATTTCATATTTCTTCCTCGTGAAAAGACTCTCAATAAATAGCTATGTAAGAAATCTAAAGATTTTCATTGAAAACTATGAGAGATACAGCCATATAAGTATTAGCAAATCAGAATCCACGTTCTTGCATTCAATTTTCATAGTTACTGTAGCACAATGTAGGAACCCATTACACCTATCTATATTCTAAATTCCATCCAGTTTTGTTTAAAACTAAGAAAGTTACTACTGTAACAGCCATTTTAAGTTTAAGCCACTCAAATTGCAGCACACTTGCATGAGCGTGTTTTCACAATATCTCATATATTATATCAAAATGTAGAGCCTTGTTGTGTATGACTATGTTTTAAATTTCAAAGCATTTCATCAAAAAACACAAAGGTTATTGAGATTTTTTGTGTCAGTCAAACAGAGCAAAGCACACATGCATGCACATGCTTTCTTGCTCATTCAACCACCTCTTCTTGTCTACACCACTAATATAAGTCTATACAATGAAGTTCAAAGCATATCATTAAAAAACAGGAAGGTTAATGGTGTTTCAATTGCTTCAGTCATTTCACTCCTTGCACGTGCACGCATGTGCATGTAAGTGTGGGGAAAATGACCTTCCTTCTGCACATCTTCACAACATGCCTGTTAACCCTAAAGAGGTTTCATCTCAATCAGTTGAGTAGTTTCTGTGATGACAGAGAAAGAAGCATTAAAGCTTTCAGACTGTCTCAACATTGTAAAGATCTATATGGCTGGCATGAGATGAAAATGAAGAAGCAATGCTGCTTTAGGTCAATAGACATATGCAAGTTTATAATTCCAATGGGACATGTCTAATTATCCTACCAATTAGAAATTTTGCATAGCTGTTTTATTTGTTCTTGTTAAAATGTTGACAAATTTTCATGAATTTATGTCTTTCTTTTATGGAGTAAAAGAATGTCTCATTAATTTCAAAATAGCCCTAATATAGTAAAAAAAAAATTCACAAATAGTAAGACCAATGCAGAATAGCATTTATCATATAAAATCTGACAATAGATATATGATTCCCCACCCTTCAAAGCTAAAGTGAATTATAAAATTGAAAATAACAAGAAGTCTGTGAGCCAATGTTCACTAGTAATACCCCCGCTTTGATGTGAATATACATTCTGATGTGAATATACACAAGTTCAGTTATGGACAGACACAAGGGTGAACAAGAAGTTGACATCGGATTCGTACAAAAATGAATCCCACCATATGACATGCCTAAACAAAGAATTGCTAAAATTTCAACCATCTGCAATCAGTAGTTGCTGAGAAAATTGGGACCAAAATTTGTTATGTATGGTACGGACAGACACACAGATAAACAGGGAGTTGACATCGGATTCATACAAAAATGAATCCCAACATATGACATGCCTAAACAAAGAGTGTGCTAAAATTTCAAGCATCTGCAATCAGTAGTCGCTGAGAAAACTGCGACCAAAATTTGTTATGTATGGTACGGACAGGTGCACGGATAAACAGGAAGTTGACATCGGATTCGTACAAATATAAATCCTACCATATGGCATGCCTAAACAAAGAATGTCCTGAAATTTTAAACATCTGCAATTAGTAGTTGCTGAGAAAACTGCAACCAAAATTTGTTATGTATGGTACAGACAGATGCACGGATAAACAGGAAGTTGAAATTAGATTCGTACAAAAATGAATCCCACTCTATGGCATACCTCAACAAAGTGTGTGCTAAAATTTCAAGCATCTGCGATGAGTAGTTGCTGAGAAAACTGTGACGAAATATTTGTTATGAACAGACAGACAGACACACAGAAAGACAGACATGCAAGGGTAAAACAGTATACCCCCCTCTCCTTCGGAGTGGGGGTATAATTAAAATAATTATTTTTAATAAATATATCTTTATCCCAGATATCTTCCAAAAGAGATTTCAGTCTCTCTTCAGTCTATAACGATACTTTTGGTATATCCATCCTGATGTCTTTTCATTGTATTTAAATTTCAGTTTGTGTGGTAATATTGCATACAGTTTCAAAGTACAGTGTCATGAGCTCATATACAGTAACATGTGATATAAATGCTAATTATCAAAATCCTGCCTCTCAAAATCAAAAAAAAAAAAAAAAAAAATAATAATAATTCAATCAACCGCCAGAGTGATTTTATAAAGTCAAAGGTCAAGGTCAACTGAATTGTAATGTAATGAACTCACTTGCATTGAACTCTCTTTGTTTGAAAAATCAGTTTGTTTGAAATGAATTTGGTTTCTCCTAAAATGCTGGTACAGTTTCTTTGCAATAAATACTCGTTTAGATTGAAATCGGTTAACTTGAAAAACGCTGTTAATTTGAAGTGATTTTGGGGTCCGCTGAACACAAAGCTTATAGCAGTTTTGATAATTGGTACATTGAAGTTGCCAATTGCGACGCGTGGACTCAGGTGACTGACTATATACGGAGTCTAGCACGTGTTAATTTTTCAAAGGTGATTTGATGTTGGTGGACCTGTACAAATTTAATTATGTGTTGTATAGATAAAACAATAATCATTGAGCATTTCTCACCAGAACATATTAGTCGCCATTTTTATTTTCTAACTACGGCATTAAGACTGACATGGATAAAATACGCAGGTGTCATGTGTAAATTGGTGTGTGGAGAATAGGGCTGTGTACTGACCAAAATATTTCGTTATTTTATAAAGCAATACTTTTTTCGTGTATAAATAGTCTTGATAGTTTTCTTACACAAATCAAAAAAAAAAATAAATAAATAAATAAAACAGTAAAAAAAATTTAGGACTTTTTTGAAAAATAGAGATAAGTACATTTCTGAAACACTGCATGTAATGTTATGTAAAAAATATGAATTCTCACATGTATATTTTTTTTTACTGTACAGTCAAGCCTCGTTACCTCGAACTTGAAGGGACCGAGAAAAAACTTCCGAGATATCTGAGGATTCAAGATATAAGGGTAAAATATTTAGAGAATAAGTGGTTGGGACAGCAAATCACTTAGACATATCCATGGTATTCGAGATATCAGTGTTCCAGATAATGAAGTTCAACTGTATCTACATTTTTTATGTAATTCATAGCACACAGATATAATGAAATTCGGTTAATTTGAAATAAATCTCGACGTCCCTTAAATTTCAATGTAAACGAGTTTGACTGTATATGGTATTTTACAAAAGCCAAAGTGCCAAGCAATGCAAGTGCAAAGTATCAAATCCATTCCTCTTACAGTTCTCAGGATCTAGGGTATGACAGACAGACAGACACCATGTAAAGTGATCTCTCTCTAAGTGTTGCTTTTACCCAAATTTTTTTCATAATTTTGTTTTCTTACCTCTCTGAAGAGCATGACAAAGGTTACATAGATGATAGGTAGAAATACATGCATGGGATGTATTAGTGTAATCTTTTTAGTGAGCAGATTGCATCATGCATTGTTTATCTGCTGTTGCTGATCTTTAACAAGGGAGACTTCTCCTGAAATAAGAAAAATTCAAAAGTGAAATTACCTGTTACTCTTAAAGGGACATACACACAGATTCGACATTTTGAAATATTTTCTCAAATTGTCTGTATTATATCATGACATATATGTGGCTATAGCATTTCACATGGAAATATAATAAAAAACTTATAATAAAAACTTATTATCTGTAAATTATTGAAACTATGAATTTTGGGATGCGTTTGATTGACACATCCTTGCAATTAAATTAATCAATTAATATGACCCTCACTAGATAAAAGATGAAGAAAAAATGAATGATGCTTGGACAAAAATTTGAGATCAGAAATAAAATATATTCCTTATGCAGCTTTTAATAGAGAAAATTGATATTATTGATAGGTAAGATACCTTCAATCATGTGGATTTCACATGCTGATAAACAGTTAACACACCATCCAGGAAGTTGCATCATGAACACCTAAAAAAAGAGTATTCCTTAAATTCATTGATTGCCCACAAGTATAATATTCCTAATATTTGAGTCAAAAATAAATACTGTAGGCCTAAAATGAGAAACCGAAAAAGAAAACCTGAAAAGAAATTGTCTCTTTCTACAAAGAACAACAACTGACTAAGTTCATTTTGATTTGCTATTCCTGGCTCTAAGCTAAGCAAGGGTCTACTGGAAAGAAAGGGTAAATTATTCATATGGTAAAAAATTAGCAAATCAAACTTTGTAAATAAATACCCAAGCATTTGGTTTTGTCTTTGATTTCAACAAAATGTTATTGATCTCCAAAAATTTTTGTTTATGTGTGCTGAGCCACAGTAAAATTTTAAATGTTGTAGAACTGTATATCCATATCTAGATTCAGTAAGAAATTTCTAGTCATTTGACAAGTTGATTTCACAGTTTCACCAAAGTTTGATTAACAATGTTATGGTTAATAAAATATTATCCAATTTAAGCTTATAATTATATTATTAAAGTGCAATTTGTCGAAGTAAAAAATGCCTGTAAAAAGAACAAGTGGCCATGGGCAACAATGCTCACCCGAGTCACTATGGCCTTGCTGTTCTACTTTTTTTTTTTACTACACATGATGATGTATATTTATTCATATGTAAAAATTTGATTGTCCATTGTGGCCCCACCCTATCCTGGGGGGTCATGATTTAAATAAACCTGAATGTACACTAAGTAATGAAGCTTTCAGAGAATTTTCATTTTCTGGCCCACAGTAATGAAGCTTTCACAGAAATTTCATTTTCTGGTCCACTGATTCTTGAGAAGAAATTTTTTAAAGATGCCATTAAATTTACAATTCTTAATTATTTCCCCTTGAAAGAGGGTGTAGCCCTTCATATGAACAAACTTGAATTTCCTTTACCTAAGGATGCTCTGTGACAAGTTTGGTTTAAATTGGCAAAGTGGTTCTGGAGAAAAAGATGAAAATGTGAAAAGTTTATGTCGCTGCCTCCAACAACAACAGTGACAGACAACAGACAAATTTTGATCAAAAAACCTCTCTTAAGCCTTTGGCTCAGGTGCGCTAAAATAAAAGATGGAGAAATAAAATTTATTGTTAATGACAGTTTTACTTATGTATTTTAAAACTCTTTCTCAAATACCATGGATATGTCTAAGTGCTCAAGTTCAGTGAGTTTATGAACTTGACCCTCTATTCTTGAAACCTCAATTATCTGTTTCTCAAAGGGTTTTTTTTTCAGTCCCATCTATTGCCATAATAGGCTTATCTCCAGGGGGTCCTCATGACTAGCAATTACATAAGCAACAATGTTTTTGGATATAAATATATCAAAAAAAAATAAATCTGAATAATTAAATGACAAGATATGCATTCGACATTGGGTGACACAATTGGGGAAAATATTCTGGCATGTTACCCTCAAAGTAAGTGATTGTGAAATTTACTTGTCTGAACATAACTTTTACTTGTATGAAAATATTTCATAAAAGACCTATTTAACAATTTGAAAAAATATTGTACGTTACAATAGTCTATAATACATTCATTGAGTCTGTTTTTGAGATTTTGAGTGGACACATCTATTGCAAATTACTAAACTGTATCATCCTATCCTAAAGTAGATGTAAATCATGTTATATAATTACATGTATGAAAGAAAAATAGTAACAACAAGAAATAGCTTACTATATGACTTCAAATTTTTCTTTGCCTTCTTTTGCTTATCCTTTGTAGCCTAAATTGTCTTTTGCTAAAGCTCTCCTGCCAGATAATAAAAACCCAAATTTCCTTCAGTAAATGTACACGTTTCAAAGTTACTGTAGTTCTAAGTAGTCAACTTCCTGGTACTTTAAATATTAAAATTAAAATTGTGACAAACACCTGAAAAACATCAGATATTTCAGACAAGTTTCATAGTAACATTGTTCCTGATCAAGTTTGACAACCAGGGCCATCATTATTACGAGCAGGATCAACATTCAACTATTTACAAACCGCATGCATGGCATGTTTTCATTTTGAACCTCTGATAAAAAGTTGACAACAAATTTTAAATCTTTAAGTTTTCATGCTCAGCTATAAAAAATTCTTCCTAGAAAAATATCCCTTGACAAATCGGACAAGTGGTCAGCAATTATCACTTGTTCATGAAAAATTTTACTGGTACATGTACTGGACAAGTGGATGAGCGTACAATGTCGAGCCCTGGAACTATGCCCCATTTTTTGTTTACATTTGCTTAGCAACCAACAGCATTAAATCTCGAACCCGAGCTATTATAATATGTAGCATAAAAGCACACGAGGATGATCAAGAGGGTGTTACAACTGTTTCTGTTTTGTTGTATTTGTTTCTGGCATTTGTTATTAACTGTTTCTGATGTGATGTGAATTCTTCATGGTATATATAGTGAAACTATATTTGTGATAAAAACATGATAAAAAAAATTATTAAAAATGTGTTTCAAAAATGTAAATGATACTAGTAGTATAAAAACTCATTTTTAAGCATTTCAGAGTAGATTATAAACATCGAACCTAATGGGTCCTAGAAAAAAACTTTGTGATATCCTACTGTACAATTCAAGATACTGAAGATAAAATATGTACTTGTAGCATAGCATAAATTTTCCATCTTTAACGCTCAGTTATACCTCGATAAATATTGCTAATGAGAGGAGGAGCGCAATTAATATTTCTATCTTCATGATAACACAAATCTAAATAAGTCAGTTAATTTTATAGCTAATTTAGCCTTCATTAAGTTCAACAAATTTCTTTAAATCTGTTCAGAATCAGACAAGTAAAAAAATATTCATGCATTCGGACACAGGGTTTAACATTTATAAGGCATGTCTGATCGACACTGACTAGCAAAAGTTTGGTCCTGTCTAAAAATTGAGTGTACATCTGACATGTAAATATAACAAGTGTGCAGCATGTGTGTTTTATTCATCTGCTCTCATGTACACACAGGATTCGAAATACCCCAAACTGTAGGGGTCTACAAATACAGTCATGACTTTAATGATTTTGGATTAAAATCAAAAACAAGTAATTGTAATTGGAAGTATTCTATCAATACTAATATGTCAAGTTTCATCTACCAATATAATGCTACAACATTAACGAGAAAAAACCATGCGTTTTCTACATGGGCATTTCTTCAATCAATTTGTTTATGTACCAGCCTGAGTATAAATTTATAAGAATCTTCTTGGGTTTTAATGTGATGGAGGAGGTGCCTTTAGTCACCAGGATGTTGTAACGTGGTCTTAAAACTCTTTAATAGATTTGGGGCATGAGCTACTTTTAAATTAGTTAAATAATCTAACTGCGTCTCCAGACGAGCCCTCACCACACCTCTCTTAAACCGGGTCTGAAGCACATCATTATTTTAATAATTAGAAAATTCTATCTACAACTACTTCCTCTTCCAGATGACTCCAGTTATTGCAGTGCAAACAAAAAAATGAGTTTTTATATTTTTTGGTTTTGGTGTTTGGTATCTCCACTGCTTTACTGTTGTTACAAGGATTACAGCGAGTTAAACTATGAATTAAATCGTTTATTTTATACATACATGTACCATGCATGTTCATGACTTATTGGTTGTCAAATGTGTGGATATGTCATGCGAGGAACAGACGTAACTGCATGCGCAAGGTAAAATACCATGAGTCGTGAAGCACGGGTCTGTGACATTCGGAATACAGATGTATTTCTGCTGTTTGAGTAACCATACACCACTTTGTGTGCAGTTAGGCATGGATAAGTATGATCACTTTACATTGTGCTGAATAATTACCAATCAATTATCAAGTTTACCTGAACTGATCTTATTTGTTAATCTATTCAAGAAGTAACTGTTTGGTCACAAATTAACTGTCTGAGCGTTGTATATAGCCCTAAAACTTTTATAACTTTGAGTGCAATTGCGCAGAGAAAGACACATTTTCAAGAGAAATTTTTTCATGAACATGATGAATTGTTTTCAGATGAGCTAAAAGTTGAAAATTATCAATGCACGAAAGTGCGATTTTCTGCACATCTTGAAAAAAAAAACCTAATTAAAGAAATAAGTTTGATTTAGTAGTTAAATAAAGCTACTTCAGGTAGGTAAATAAAGCGATGTAGGTAATTCAAGCTACGTAGCTAAAACTAGTGATTGTGCCAGCTAAATGACTGTTTATCAGTGTATTGTCCAAGTGTAGAATTGTAGATATCTTTTTACTAAAACTTTGAATTTGATAGATTTGTACTTAAGCGACTAACCGTATATTTCTTACACATTCTTCTAATACTTCCACAACAAAACACTCGCCGCAACCGTTCTTATTAGTCGTCCTAAGCTTCCTCAGTTGGTTGGCTAAATAACCCGACCCACTATTGTTTCGTAAATTGCCAACCCGTTTTTTTTTTAAATACAGAACATTTAATTCTAATAAATCAGATCTTATTTCCTCTGGTAGTCCATCACATTTTTTCAGACCAACTGTACAGCATTTGAAGACAGAATAAAAAGATAAATATTTATTTATAATTGCCATGTCGAACCTCGTATTAGTCGATGCTGAAGAGAGATGGTGATGAGGACGGAAATGCACAATTCATTTATTTTATTGATTATTCCTATTGCAAGTAATTTATGATAGTATCGTCATGATTTTCTCATAAATATGCAATACAGAATTAAAAAGTTTTGAAATTAATGGTAAATAAACATGATAAATGGCAATATTGATAATGTATTTTTTATCACCCTGTACACATACTGAGTGTAGGGCACTGTATTACAGTATATCTGGTAGAGCTTGAAATGACATTTGTTTAATCATAAAATATGCTCTTAAAGTGAAGAAATTGCATGCGTCTAATTAAATAAACGAGAAAACTACATGCATGGGTCCCAACTTGCATTTCATTCTATGTTAGGGGTCTCTTAGCAATACCCAGAGACCTATATAGTAATA